TTTCTATAAAGTCCGGGCTATTATCGGCGAACTGAGTGCGTTTAATAAGGCTCTCATAACTGAAAATAAAGAGCAAAACGTTTAGGATCAATAAAAATAAGTACTTAGGGGCTTTCCTAACTCACCTCTTTTTAATAAGTTCCAAAATATTCGAGGAATCAGCACTCAGTCTGTCCACATAAGTGATTTCCCTCATCAAGTCACTGAGTTCCCTATAGCTGTATTCAACCTCTCTCGTAACAGCAAAAATCACATTGATCTTACGGCGCAATAATTCCCTATAGATTTCCTCTAGCGAGGGATAATCAAAGTCCAAGGAAGCCGTATACTCTCCGTTTTTATTTAAATGGCACTGCTTATCATTGGGCTGAGTAATACCAGCTAAAAGTCCTTCCCCAGCTAAGTGCATAAAACCATCGGTTACTAGGATCACCACTTTTCGAGCCTGTTGTGTCCAACCGATTTCCTTGGTACACACTATAACCTGCATTAAGGCATCCAAACCACCTTCGAGATTATCCAGGTTTCCGGTGATTTTACTATTTGCCACAGCAGAGGTGAAATCAGGGATCTTATCGGTTAACGATAACTGATGTCTGTATCCATATGTTGGTTCACATTTGGTCCGCTCCGCAGCACATGGATTGTCCTTATGCTGTGGTAGAATCATCGGAAATATTGGCTTATCCGCAAAGGAACCAAATCCCAGTCGATAGTTGACAGTTAAATTTTTAAGGGTCTGACTGAGTTGAGCTCCCAACTCCTCCAGAGTCTCCTTGTCGTCCCTCATTGTCCAGGTGAGGTCCATCAACACGTACAAATCGAGTGGATTATTGCGTGCTGTCCTATAGCTCAGCTTGATTTGTTGCGTGTTTCCTGTGGAACAATAGAAAGGGGGTATAAAGTTATAGATCGGTTTACTATGTACTCGTTAAGGGCTACCTTGTTTATGAGCTGTTTTATGGGCTGACAATTTTACATAAACGAAAACCAGTCTGCTCTGGATTCCACACCCAGTCAATTTTTTCACAGAGGAAAAATTTTATATTTAAAATCATTGATATCTATAAAGAATATATATTGCCTTTAATATCTGATATTTTCCCAAGGGTTTTAATTTAACTAAAGACTTTAGTTTAAATAAAATATAATTGATTTCATATTCTTAGGTATCTTAAGAACTTTCTTTCAGTGCAAACTGCTACTGTTTTGTAACCATTCATTACCACTTGAGCAAGTTCACACCCAGTCTAAATGTTTGGTTTCCTTGTAATCCTTAAGCGTGCAATTTAACCAGCTTTTTTCACCACTTTTTGACCCTAATTACTGGGTTTCAGTAGTTCTTAAGCTGACTGCGATCTCTAATTACGCGATGTAAATGGGAATAAAATTGTTTAATAAGCCGTTTCAGCATAAAAATGATTGACAGACGTCAAAATGGGTTTCGATTAGTGTTCAACTCAACACTACATCGATTGAGATATAGGAACCATTATTAGGGGTACTGAGGAATTATGATGTTAGTCACGTGAATATAAACGGCTTTTAAAAATGTTAATAATGTCAGCCATAAGAAAATTTCCTTAAAATAAACTGTTTTGTAATTTATAAGCAAGTAATTAGATTTAAAAAAATGTATTCGTTGTTGAACAATGCTTTATTTTTTGTGTTAAAAACCTTCAAACTTTAAAAGTCTACAATTGTTTATCATTGCTATTTGTCGTTGAGGTAAGTAAAATATAAGGTATCGCTCGAAAACGTGATTCATTCGCTTTTAATAATATTTGAAAACCTTTCTTATGATTCATATTTGCTCTTCGAAATAAACCCTAATGTAAACAGAAAATCTGCTAATCCTTGGATCCAGGTATAATACTACCAATAAAGTGGGTTCAGTGAACTTATAGAAAGACAAGGAGGGAGAAAAAAAGGGAGGGACAGAGAGGTATTCCCACGCCAAATACAATAACAATAATAACACGAAGATGTGACAACCACAAAATGCTGATAAGCGAACCGCCGACACAAAACAAAATGTTTGAAAATGATGTGGAACAAATCAGCAAAGCAAACACGAAGCAGGGGCAGAGAAATGAAAGAGTGACACACTTGATAGAGGAACGAAATACAACGTGTTAAGGCGTGCGAGAGGGGGCTAGCCTCATAGTGACACACATTTGATAAGATAACCAAATAAAATAATGAAAAACACACACCTTTGACCAACGTGAGTTTGGCTTGCTGGGGCGTCACTTGCACTGCCTGATCGCTGCTTTCGTAGTCCTTTAAGGGTTTGTCCTGCAGGACATCTAAAGTCGGCTTATTCTCGTATATATCCGTCGCATTGCAGTTGTACTCCAAGAGTTTTGAGCGAGAAAGGCATCGATAACCCACTTGGTATTCCTGGGAGAAGGAAATTTATCAGGTTATTAGATCCCAAGAATCATAATTATTACTTTGATCAACCTGAAGATTAAGGAATTTATGACAAAAATGGTATAGAAAGTGCTAGCACAATAAAATTCTGAACATTATCAATACAATATTACATTTTATAAGAAGAAATAGAAGGAAAAATATATTTTAAGTTATAAATTATATCAGCTAAATGCGAGTATTCATTAAATACTAAGTATATTGAACTTAATCCTTTTGCGATTTTATTTAAACTAGACTTTCTTTCATACATATATGTAGCCTGCTTTTTGGGATACAGCACTGACTTAAAGGATCTTCGTTAACTCTATTGCCATCTCTCTCACACTTACCTTATCCGTGCACCAGGCGCACTCCAGGTGAGCGGATAAACACCTTTCACAGCTGTCCGAGTGCATGCATTGTTCATCTGGGTAAGGGAGATGGCGATAAATAGAGCGTTACGTAACGGTAAAGTTAATGGGCTAACAAACCGATGGAAGCTGCCTCCGAATAAGTAGTTCCCCAAAGTAAGCAGAGTAAAATAGTCCACAAAAGCACTTTCCCGCCTAATGACGTCATATTATTCTCACTTAACATGTGCAATTTTTCCGATCACTATTCTTATTTCTAATATTTATTTTGGGAGCCAACAACCGTTCGGCATGAAAGTTCAGCGCAACTAATATTTATTCAGTACGAAAAGCGTTGATTTGCTCCGCTCGTTGGCTTTTTTTATAAGCGTTATCTTATCGGGTGAGCGTGGTAAAAAAAATGTGTGAAGTTATTGAGAAAATACTTTGATTAGAAAAATGGCACTATCAAAGAGAGGGGTCTAGCTATTACGAAGGGAAAAAATGATAGTAAATAAAAACAAATCACTTTCACTTGTTGTCTTAGTCATACACCTGTACTTCATTACACTTCATTCATTAACAAATTTGTTGTTGGCCCCTGATGAATCATTTTCAATAATTTTTTGATGTACCGCTTGGACGTATTCGCGTTCAAAGATAGTAGTTTAAATTATTGGTGCTTTTATTTTAAATGTTTTCAATTGTAACCGATTTAATGATCTGCGAATGATATACTCAGCATCTTATTTAAACATTTTATGAACGAAACTTTAAATATTTGTAGATTTCGATTTCTTCAAAGCTTTTAATAAGTGAATGAATATTTAATGGTCTATGAAGAATAATATGTTTATTTACTAATTTTTTCAAACAACGTAGGAATTTAAAATTCATATTTTGAAAATTCGCTTCTTAGTTTCGTACCCATCAGAGTTTGAGAGATAACAAAAATACTGAAACATGGAAAACACTCGACTGATATCAACGACTCTAAACTACACAGATTTAAGATATTTAAAAAGAATTTATTTCATGGTGTTTGGAATTAAGTTAAAGTTTATTAAAAAGAGTATAAACATATAAATATATATTATTTAAAAACCGGAACTGCTAGGGTGGCTTACATCCGACTGGTCACACCACCCGGCTTACTGCTAGCAAAACATGTTTACTGAGTGCTCTCTCCCCCTCCCAACGGGCTGTATATTAGCCCAGCCGAGTAACGGTCACACTGCCCGCTCTCTGCATTCCTCCCCCGCACCACCGTTATTACTCTCACAACTCCATATTGTTGTTCTTGTTTCTTAACGGGAGAGGGCAATTGAGAGAGCAGAGAGCGCGGAAATGTGGCCATTTTGTGCGCCGACAGAAATACAGAAAAGTACAAAACCGGATTGAAATACTCAAATTGAGACCCAACGGTCAGTCAGAAAAAAAATTTCAAATCGCGGGGTTGTGTTGCGGACGATTTTCTCTTTGGAGCGCAGCGCGGAGTTTCGCGTTTTTTGTGTTTATAGCGGAAAATCGGATGAAAAACTCCAAATGTTTACCAAATGAGCGGCGACAATTACGCGACCAATTGACGAGATCGTGTGTGTTTTATCCAATTAAACGGTGAGTGTGCGACAGAGATGGAGATGTAAAGTATGAAGTCTATTCAAAGTGCGGCAAAAAAAAGTCTAAAGGTGAAAAAGTCATTAATAAAAAAAGCAAAATAGAATTGCTGTGTGGAATACAAAAAAAAATACACATATATATATATATAAGTAAGGAGACGACGCGCAGCGAAAAAGGAATTTTTTGTGTACTACGGCGGCGCTTTGTTGTTGTTGTTGGCGTCGTGCAGTTGATTTTGTTTTGTGTGTTTGTACGTTGTTGTTGCCTTTGCCTTTTTGTCTTTTCCCCGTGTTTTTGTGATTGGAAAAATACGAAAAGAAAGCAGAAAAACTAAGGTGGGAAAAGTAAAAACGAAACAAAATAAGAAATTTGCCCATTTTCCGTTATTTTCTGCCTGAGAAAAGTGAAAAGTTTAATTTACTAAACAAAGCGGCAAAACTGTGTGCGTGTGCGTGGGTGGCTGAGCCTCTGTGTGAATGTGTGTGTGTGTGTGTCTCTCTAGTTTTTGCAATTCCCACTGCACACGCTCTTTCGTGTTGGATTATTGGATTATACCGCCAATAACGGCACACGCACAGCAACAACAACAACAATAATAAAAACAACAAAAAGCGATAAAGGAGAGCAGACGACGCTGGGATTAATCATTAATGTCCTGAGAGATAAAGAACGGGAATCTAGAAGCATACGAAAGCAGCAGCCGGCCAAAGAGCAGAAGAGGAAGCAGCAGACGAGCAAGAAGAAGACGGCAAAAGGTAAGCCAAAGTTTCAAAATTCCATTTCCCCCTACTTCACTTTCTTATTTTTATTGGATTTTTCCTTGTATCTTTTTTAAATATCTGCATTTGTAAGAAAAAACAAAGATACATCTTTAAAATATTTAGTTTGATTTCTTTAGTTTGAGTTCAATTCTGGTTTTTCTACAAAACACTAAAGTTTTTCTGTAAGCATATGTATTTTGTTATACTTAAGTGTTCACATTATAACAAAATCAAATTAAACAACAGATTTTCCAAGCTTTCATTTAAAGACAGTTTTTAACTTATTTTCACATCACACAAAGATCAAACCTTACTATCTATAAGTTCAATTTGATGGCGTAGTCGCATCTATAACTTACAAACCTAGTATTACTGTTATTTACATAAATTAGAATCTCGACCATTTAAAAGCTGTTTCAAATCTTAATTTACTAGGCTAATATCTACTTGAATTCAGCATTTGGGCGAGAAAACAGTCCAAGTCCTTTACATATACTCCCCGTCCTTAAAACCAAGTCATAGATAGTAATGTGTTATATATTCTGCAATTTATGAAGTAGTTTACTTACCTAATATTCTCCGTATTAAATAAACTTCATTATATAAGCATATATTGAATTATAAATAATTCTGAACATCCAATTTCCTTGCGGAATTCCCCAATCCTAGAACTCATAATTATTGCAACTGGAATTGAACAGAGTTGTTTCCCATCAATTCGTTTGCTTCACTTGGTCGGGCGCTCATTTTCCAATGAAAATTTATTCTAATGACGCTTTTCGCGATCCTAATCTGCTGCACATAAATTTCTTTGGCAACTTTGGGTGATTTATTGCCTGTCGATTGTCGTCGTAGTCGCAGGCGCTGCTTTTTGGCCAGTCCCAGAGACTCGGAGCGATTCAATCCGATCCGTTTCGAAAAGCGGACCAAGAGGCCCCCCGTCCAGACTGGTGTTCAAGACCAGACGGGCCAGGACGGGGCGGAACGGGACAGGACAGGACTGGACAGGACGGGACGGGACTGGACAGGACAGACTGGTGCCAGCTAATGTACGCGTCTCCCAGATGCCGCGGATTAGATAAAAATTCTCAATTTATGCGTTGCGCCAGTTGCCAATTGCAGTCCACCTCCTAAAACCTCCTCCGCCTCCTTCTCCATTCCTCCACCTTCTCTGAGAAACATAAAAAAAACTTGTCGCGCCTACTAAAATCTTAGCCCCAGGCCCTGAGATGCCTTCATTCCAGTCTACTCTGCAGTCTATCATTTGAAATCATGTCCCGGCGATAAGAAATTATAGTGGCCCGGTCATAATTTACGTGATTTGCCTGCCTAATGTCCTGCCGCATGACACAAGGACAAAGCGGCAGCCATAAAAATAGAGAAGAATTCACATTTGGAGGCTGTTCTAAATGAGAAAGAATTAGGCCAGGAAGTTGGGGGCAAAATAAGATTAGTAGTTGCAGCAATATGGATTATGGATGTTTAACTCGGAGAAAGTAATGATGTTAGAATTTACATGGATTTAAAGACAAATGAATTATGTAATAATGTAGATAAGGGTTAGAAAATTCAGATGGTAAGAAGATATATGAACGCTTTGACTTGTACTTTTCAGAAATTTTTCCTTATCAAGTATCACATACTAAACGATTACAGTTTTTAGACTGACTACAACCAAATTTCAATTATACTATCTCGCACACAAAGACACATAGAAATTGTTTGCATATTTTCTTTTACAAAAATTTTACCTTTGAAAAGAAAGTTATAAAGATAACGACAAATCCTTGGGAGTGTTGCCGAACAACATGCTAGGGTCAGTATATTTTTTAATATTTATGCACTCTGGTTTGTATGTCCTAACCCATAGACAACACAGTGTAGATTATTTTCCAACCCCATAACCTACAGTAGACCCATAATTTTCCCGTAGCCCCTGGCCAGTTTTCCATGGGGAATGGCACTCTAGGTACACGCATACTGGAAAATCCGTTTCGTTTTGACATTTATTGTTTTTAATAGTCTCGAGAGCTACGAAATTTTATGACACATCCTCGAGCGATAAAAATCTTTAGTGCCCCAGGGTACATGCATGGTTTATTCGTTCCTCTGTTCAATAAGAGCCGAAGGTAAATAAAGTAGGGGATAAAAAGAAAGAGAAGTTTGGAATTAGCCGAGGCCACCTCATAAAGTGAAAAGTGTCATAAAAATTAGTCAAGAAATCACGCTGCCCACACCCCAATTTGTATTTCTTTCGGACGGTTCTTTTCTTTTGGTCTCCTAACATTTCAGTTCCTTTCGGTTATTTGGTTGTTTGTTCTGACACATTTGTATGCTAATGAGAGAGCGGGATATGGAGGTTTTGTATGGTTTGGATTGGGTGCTTCCGGCGGGAGTCTCTTTCTGGTCTTTTTCTTCTGACTGGAATCTATCAGGTTTTTGACGAGGGTTTAGGCCGGGGAATCGCTTTCCGAGGATAATGCATGCAGCTCAGGTCTTGCATATCGAAGTGGCCGCTGATAAAGGATTTGGGAAGTAGTTTAGGCCATTCGGACGGGGTCATAAATTGAATTATAATTCAGGCATAGGCATACCAACATTTTTTTCTGTCTTTCTGGGAGCTTATGTCTAATGTTCCTTGGATTAGGGTCTTAGGGATGAGTTGTTTTGCCCTCCATCCCCAAGAGAGTGTTTCTCGGGTCTTTAAGTACTGAATTTTTCTTGGGTGAATTAACTTGAGCTGAAAACGATAAAACGAAAACATAAAAAATATGTATTTTGAAGACTCTCCAGGAATGGTTTTAATGCAAAGTGCTGCGTAGAAAATCCATGTCTAAAACAATAATATTTCGTATCCAAGTGCGGCAAATTACAATAAAATGGAATACTGTTTCCAGCCACTTGAACCCCTTTGATTGGCTTCCCTTAAAGGCTTTCTATTTCCGATTACCTATCCCAGATTTCCCATTTTTTTTGTGTATTTTCCCTTGAATCGCTTTGGTTATCTATAAATAACATTTTGCTTGCCTTTCTTATCAACTTCCGCTACTTAATGTCTTCCCAACCAAATTGCAGCTAAACTCTTAGTTTTTCCCTCTGTTTCTTTCTTTTTTCGGCCACCCATCTCTTTCACTTCAGCACCCCCTCTCTCTTTCTAGCAAATTGCCTTCTTTAGCTGTCTTATCCTAAAATGTGTGTGTGTGAGTTTGGGTGTGTAACAAAGATATCAATGGCAACGAAAAAAGAAATTAGGGAGTGGGAGGACAACCTTGAACCTTGAACCTAAGGAAAAAAAAAAAGAACAGGCAGGGCTCATTTCCGTTGCGGGTCAAACAAAGACAAATATACGCGGCTAGAAGGAGATAGCAGGGGATAATACCACAAATCTAAAATCCACAAATGCCACAAAAAAGTCAATAAATGTGCGCCTTTGCTAAAAATTATCAACAGCTCGTTAGCAGCCCCCAGAAGAAATGAAAAGACATGGATGGATATAGAAGGAAAATGCATATAAATAAGATATAGGAGTCTAGTTGAATGAGACTGTGGCAAGGAAAGACAATCAAACGAGAGGAAAAACTAAAAAAAAACTAAAACAAACAAAAGTCGCACGAAAATGAAAGAGAATTAAGTGAGGCCTTGGCAAAAAAAAATGAGGAAAAAAGAAAGTTCCGCAATTCCTCTTGTTCTTGGGCACTTTTTTTTTATTCCCAGCAATTATCCGGTGGTCAAACAAAAGTCATTAAATTGCGGAAATCGGGTCACCAAACCGACAACAAACTCAACTAAAAGAGGAAAAAAAGCAGACAAACTGAGGGTAAAACCCCCGAAAAGCAGTCAAAAAAGACGAAACGGCTAAATTGTGAATTTATTTACATTTAATTGCATCTAAATTACAAAATACAAGCGGTTTGGCAGCATTGTCTCAGAAATTATATTTTAATGTGTGTCCTCCGCTTTCAATGTGATGATGTCCCTCCATCCCTTCCTCCATCTTTCTCCACTTTTCTTATTTGCCTCAGTGTCGAGATAATGATGATGATATGACTCATTAACCTCGACGCATGACCCAAGCAAATTAGAACTACAAGAAAACCCATTCCATCCATAAAGACACCATTTCCTTACACTTCTCAGCAAGGTGGGAAATTAAAATTTAAAGTTAGGTGTTCTTATAATAGGTAATGATTAAAATGGGAAAATTTTAAGAGGTTACAATGGTAGCTTACATTTTTTAAAGTTTGTACCTCTAGAAAAATTTAGCTTTTTCTTTTGGCGATTTTAAAATTGTGACTTCTTCACTTCAAGGTATATATTTCTAGTTTAATGTTAGGAATATAATAAATACTATCTCTTTAGCAAGTTTTTTAAAAATTCGTTAAAAAATATTCTTAGCAATATTTCTTTTTAAATAAAATTTGTTTAAGATTATATTCTGACGATAATCCGCTTTTGTTTTAAAATATTTGCCATGCAGCTGAGTGTAATCTTTTTTGAAGCGCATATGAGCGATATAGATACATATTTCAGCTGTCTGAGGCGAACCCGGTCTGTTTGAGCTGTAAGTGTCTTTTGAGGCCGTGTTTTATTGCTGCTAAGTTCGCTTGTTGACTTTGGCTGAGTCATCATCTCGCGGTTCGTCGGCTTTGTGTTAGAAGTTCCCCCATTCTGGGTTTCCCCCGAATACCCCTGCCCTTTTTGGGGGGCGAAAAAGCTGAGCACTTAGCTGACATATTTTCCTTTGTAAAACTTAATGGTCTAGATAAAGTTCGGTCGGCTGACTGCGGTTTTGTCGCTTAAAGTTTCCTAAACCGAGCATCGCATGCTTAGCATTTAAATGAGCTGAAAAACGAAGTTTTGCATTGAAGACCTGGCGATGATTCAATTGGCCGTGCATTTGCTTGGCTTTTGCAATCTTTCGGATTGCAATTTGAACTTCGGAGACCACACCTTGGAACCGTTTCCATTTTCCCATTTCCATTTGGATTCGTTGG